GATTACGGACAATTTAATGTATAAAAACTCTATATATTTTTTCTTTAATTTTCTTTTTTTCTTGCAAAGACGCAGAAATTCTGAATTTTTTTTTCATTTTACGCATTAAATTGCAGTGTTTTAACATGTCTGTTATTATTTTTTTTAATCTAGAAAATTCATTTTTAAGTTTAAAATCAGTCAGACTTTCAAGAAACAGACTGAATTATAGAACAGGTTATTAATGTATATAATTGTAACTGTTCAATATCCTTTCCAGAATAAGTTTCACAAAAAAGATCATAAGAAATTGAATAATTTTACAACACGGTTAAAACAAGGTAAGTATACCGCAGAATGGTCAGTGAAGTTTCTTGAATGATCAAGGAAACATTAATAGTTTATCACTGAAAGCAAGTAAAAGGATAAGGAAGGGATCCAGAAAGCTAATTCCAATTCGCCCGCTGAATGGTCACCTGAATGTGACTGAATGACGACTAAAGAGTAAAAGGGCAGGGAAGGGTCCAGAAGCTAATTCTAATTCGCCCGCTAAATGATCAACTGAATGTGACTGAATGACGACTGAAGAGTAAAAGATAACTTCATGGAAAGACACTGCAATGTACAAGGCATTAAGTAGTTTAATTGTTTCTTAATGGTCACTGATTACCGCCTTTCTGTTTTAACTGAATGGTCTCCTTTTTTTATTTTACAAACTGATTTAGAAAAGAAACCTAATAGCAATACAAGGTTTTGAAGTGAAATAAATAACTGAGTGGAGAAGGAAAGATAACTATAAGTAATCCCTTAATGTTTATTGAATGGTTTTTTGTTTTTTGTTTTTTTTTTTCTTAATGTATTTTTATTGCCGAAATCTGACTGAAAGATTGCTGATTCGGCGTAAAACAATGATAATCAATCAATCGGTCAATCCTCCGATTTTTATCAACGAGCAATACAACTTTAGAAACTTCATATTGGCATTTTTTTTTTCTAAAGTTAATGGCATCAAAACATAACACTTTTTAAACTATTCCTCAGATAAATTAAAAAAACTAGGCTTTTTGATATTTTACACATGAAAACGGACTTTCCTGAAAATCAAAAACTGTACGATTGATTGATTGTTGTATGTTGTTGAACGTCCCATTCGAGAATTGTTCACTCATATAGAGACATCACCGTATGCCTGTGAAGGGCTTCAAATTTAGAACACTACATCCCTTCAAAGTATTCTCCGCGGTTTGAAATAAATAATTTCGGGATTTGTAACCACGGCCAGATGAGAACCTTTTTAGTTTTGGAAAAAAGGAAAAAGTTGCATAGGGCTAGATCTTGAGAGTATGGTGGATGTGGCAAGACGGTAACCTTTTCCGACTTTAAAAATTGCTCAACAAGCTCAGATATATGCGATGTACCATTATCATGAAGTAGATGATCATGCTTAAATCCTGACACAGGGTGTCGTTTATGATAATATTTCTTGTGCTTTTTTAGTACAAAATCTCGGTAATAACGACCTATAACACTTTTGCCCTTCAGCACCGGAATTTGTACGACTATACCGTCACACGAGAAAAATATTCCAATAAAGAACCTTCTTTGTGCATTTTTCCCAATTCAGTAAAAATCTGCATTACCGAATGACCGAGTTTTATGCGTACTTTTATAGAAGCTTCAATTTCTTCAGTATTCCCAACCCGTTTCCCAACCACTTTTACAACAGTGGCCAACGACTGGCTCTATTGAAATGACTATACATTTAAAACTATGTGGAAATGAGGGCTCGTGATTATACCATAGGAAAGGTATTGGATAGAGCTATTCAAGAGTATCATCATCCACGAAATCGTTCAAAGCCTTATCGCGCTGTGGTACAATGCACATAACATATCGAACAGCCCTCGTATATAAGTTTACTTTCATTGTTCATGCTAGTACTTTAAAATTGATTATTATTTTAATGGCAACAGACTTAAGTTGAAAAAGTTAAGATCTTCAGAAGTTTTTTTTTTTTTAATTCTTAGGAATAAGATCGGGTTCCTAGGATTAGTAAGTATTGTCGACCTGTAGCAATTGTCTTTGTATCAATCGGATATACTAAGTGATCTTTAGTCAATTTAGTGTTTAAAATATGACCTAATTTGTCATATAATTATTTCAACTTTCATCATAATTATTCGGAGAATTTCAATTCTTTTTTCTAATAAAAACCGTAGTTGTCAGTTCCAAAAAAGGATGAAATATGGAGATAACGAAAATTCTTCAAGCTCAAAGTCCATTAAAACAATACTTATCGGGAGCAGAACAAACACGACCTCCAAAAACATCAGAGGAGGGATCAGGTGCCACGGAGGAGTGAACATCTTTTATTAAAAAATAAAAATAAATAATGAAGATAATTAATAACTTAAGGGAGGTCCTTTACTACCGAAGCATTTAAAAACCAATTATATATATACATCTCAAGTGAACTATCTCAGAATCAAAATATGTAAAATATAATTTTACTCAGATAAAAAAAAGTCCTTATAGTCAAAATAGATGTAAGGGTGTAGCGAAAAAAATTCCCATCTAATTTTGTCTGTGGCTGCTTCTCTCCTTTTCTTCATCCTTGTCTGTTGAATACAAAGGAATAACATTATAGGAATAATAAAATGAAAAATACTCAGCTATATAAGGAAGGTCTGAGTTCACATTTGTGATGCACTGTATGGGAAGTTTCATTGTGACGTCATTGAAAATTGACCAAGCGACAAGACTTAATTAAACCACATGATGATGCGTAAATTACGTCAAAGAGTTGGATTCGAACCCGCGACGTAAGGATCAACTCCTTACTCCGCGACTCTAGAGCAGACGCTCTAATTACTGCGCCACGCGGACGACAAGATAACGGACAGCATTCAACCTCAAAGTTCATTTAAACAATACAAATCGGGAGCAGAGCAAACACGGACCTCCAAAATCATCAGAGGTGGGATCAGGTGCCATGGAGGAGTGAACTTCCCCTGCCGACCGGCCACATTCACCCGCCGTGTGCTTTATGTCATGATCGGGAAAAACGAAAAAAAAATCCGTAGACAATTCAGTATGTAAATAATGACCTAACAACTAGTATAAAAAGGTGAGTCAGCATTTGACTTAATCATAGGTTGTTCTTGCTTACAAGGTCGATGTATCGACTATAAAACTTGCGAAATATTGACTTCAAACGAGACTGTTGATATCTTTGTTTCATCAACCTGTTTGTCAATAGCTTACCTTGTCTTAGAAATTGTTCGTATGTACAGCATGCTCCTGCATATCGAATCAACTGAAAAATACGATTGAGTGGTGATTGAAAAGTTGAAGTCATCATTTTTTTCATAAAGCTTTGTTGTTATGTTACCGTTTACGTCTTTTTTGTAAAAATATGCAAATATGAAACAGATGTGTCAGACTCAAAGGTATCTTTTATTTCAAGCTCACTGGGATATATCAAGTCGACATATGAATGGAAGTAACTATTGTTAATTGATAATACGTCGTCGAATAATCTAAATGTAGAGTTGAATGCCACAGGAAGTGTTTTCCTCTTCTCATGTAGAGGTTTTGGAATAAATTCTGCTTCATATGAATACAGATATAGGTCTGCTAATAACTAGGCGCTATTGCTACCCATGTTAATTCCGACAGATTGTTGGAAGACCTGATCTCCAAAGACTTTATAGATATTGTCAATCAGAAACTCATGCATCTTGTTAATATCAACTTCTGAGTACTTGTGAGTACAATTGGAAAGTTTTTTAACAAAATAATTTTGCAAATGACGAATGACAAGGTAAGTATATTTATTATTTCCATTGTAATTGAGAAAGCAGCGATCTATAATGTCAAAAAGCCTGGACTTTAATTAATCGCGGGGAACAGTTGTATAAAGAGTTGAAAAGTCGTACGTTTTGATGTAATTGATCTTTGTAAAATTTTGTGATTTCAAATTTTCCAAAAATTCATTAGAGTTTTTAAGTATCCACATCTGATATACACAACTTCTAGAATATACTTTCGTACAATACTCCTGAAGTTTCACCTTAACTGCTGTAAATATTTTAGTGAGGAGTAAAGAAAGAAGCTTGGTGGAACAATTACTGGAACCGGGCTATGTATCTTCGTTTGTATGCTGATTGTTATTTCCCCCCCCCCCCTTCATTTTTTTTCTTTCAATGTCTCTCAGGTGATATTACCACATACTAGAGAAAGAAATATATTACATTTCTTTTAATGTTTTAATTTATTTCCATATCCTTTATAAAATAAAAATATTGCTAGGAGATAATTTATATACCTTTACTGTTGCACGAGGGAAATGCTCATTCCAACAATACGGAGACTATTAAATTCGAGGTGAAGATTGGCTCATTTTTTTGTGATATAAAATACTGTTTACGCTGGCATTCCGTAATTAATAAAAATTTTCCTATTGAATCGTAATAAAATCATCATTATTAATTTAAATGCTGCCATAGAAGATGTTAAAATGCTACAAATCGGTTTCCATAACAAACGTAACTACATTTATTTTTAAAATCATGCTTTAAAGTTATTTCAATCACAAAAAGTGAATGGAATTGGGCTGGAAAAATAGACTATTTCAATGTAAAACTTGGATTCCCTTTTGAGGCCCCGCCCTATCCACAGGGGTCATGATTTGTAAAATTTAGAATCTACACTACCCCAGGATGCTTCCACATAAGTTTCAGTTTTTCTGGCCCAGTTGTTCTTGAGAAGAATATTTTTAAAGATTTTTCCTATAGATTTCAATGTAAAACTTGGATTCTCTATCGTGGCCCCGCCCTACCCCCGGGGGTCATGATTTTAACAATTTAGAATCTACACTATCCCAGGATGCTTCCACATAAGTTTCAGCTGTTGTATTGTAGAAAATCCTGTGCCATATGCACAGATCGCATATAAATAATGTAAATTTATTTTTAAATACTATTTGTTTTAAAAACAAATTTTGATATGAAATATCACATGCACTGTATACATATTTACCATGATGATGAAGGCATACGGTATAATCTAATGTCGCTATCACCAATTGCAAAAAAAAAAAAAAATCTTATTTGAATCATTTAAAAGTTTCATGTTCCTGACTGGACAGCTCCCGGTAAATTTCCCCCAGTACCTGAGCTTGGGGACGGTAAACCCACGTGTGTCGAAATTTGTCCCTGTGAATTTCCATAATGTGTCGGTCCCATCATAATATAAGAGTTCTGAGTACCATGTACGCCAGCCATCGCAGGGTACTCGTTCTGTTGGTTTCCAAACTGATGATTAACGGGGATTATATCTGTTTAAAGAAATCAATAATTAGGTAAAGAATGAAAGCAAAAATAAAAAGTATAAAATCTTGGATGCAAAATTGATTTTTTTTCTCCAAGTTAAGATATTCAGATTTCTTTTGAAAACAGGTCCCTACTTATCCCAGGTATATCACTTTACAACTGTCACCATTGACTATGGCGATTTACCTGGAAACAGGGTCATTTCACACGTTCTGTACATCCAAATACATTTACAATAGACACTTGCAAGGTTTTCATTTTTTCTTAAAACAAGATATATTATCCCGTTGAAATGAATTGCAATTCTTGAGTTTCATAAGGGTGATAAAATGTTAAATCTGGTTAAATATCCTTCAAGGGTGTTTCATTTGCCATTCATAACCGTGAAAAAGAGATGAGATATGCATACAAAATACACCCAAGTAAGTAAATTGATTACTTATATATACTTTACCCGTTCTTTGGGTAGTTGGAACGATAACCGTGTCATGATACCCATGTTGATTTTCTCTTTGGATACAGCAGCAGCATACGATAAGACTAAGTAAAATACCGATCCCGATCACTGATCCGTAGGAAGCTCCAAGAATGGCTAAATGTGGACTAAACATGATAAAATTTTTAAAAAATATATTTCACTGCCATTATAATTCACTATTATGCAGTTGCTCTTTTTAGGTCACCTGAGTTTAGTCAGGTGACCTATTGCTTTCTGTTTTCGTCCGTCGTTGTGCGTCATGCGTTGTGCGTTAACATTTAAACATTTTCAGCTTCCTCTCTGAAACCGCTTAACCAATTTCAACCAAATTTGGCATATAGCATCTATGGGTGAAGGGGAACACTAATTGTGAATTTCATAGTCCCTCCTCCTCTGGCGCCTGTTGGATGGAGAAAACCACTAAAATTAATGCAATCTTTAAAAAGCTTCTTCTTTACTCCTGGACATCAAGCAGTCAAAATGTTGGCATGATTGTAATAAGCATTGAGCCCTCTACCAAAATTTTGAAATTTATGGCCCCAGGATCAGGGATTCTGGTGCTAGGGTGGGGCTCTGTTGAATAATTAGTGAAAATGCATATTTTCTTTAAAAGTCTTCTCCTCTGCTCGTGGGTATTAAGCAAACAAACAGTATACATAGTTATAGTGAAAATGCATTAATTCTTTGAAAATCTTCTTCTCTCCCCCTGTATATAATGAAGATAAACTAGCTGCATGGTTATGATGATCAAGGGTGCTTCTTCTAAAATTGTGAATTTCATGGCCCCTGGGTCAGGAGTTCTGGTGTTAGGGCGGGGCTCTAATGATTATATAGTGAAAATGCATTAATTCTTTAAAAATCCTCTCCTCTGCTCCTGGGTATAGAACAAACAAACAATATGCATAGTTATTATGAGGAAATGTGCATCTTCTAAAATTGTGAATTTCATGGCCCCAGAGTCAGGGGCTCTGCTGTTAGGGCGGGGCTCTAATGACTTTATAGTGATAATGCATCAATTCTTCAAAAATCTTTTTCTCTGCTCCTAGGTATTAAGCTGATGACCTAAGTACATAGACTGGGTCAGGGGTTCTGGTGCTTTTGTGGGGCTCTTCGATTAATTAGCAAAAATCCATTAATGCTATGAAAATCTTCTCTGCCTCTGACTACTTAGTAAACAAACTAAATGCAATAATATCAATGTGAATGTATAAAATATTATTATAAGTAAATGTGCCTTTCCTTTGCTTCTGGGTATCTAGGAGACAAGCATAGTACACAATTGTAATAAGTGAAGCAAATGGGAGTTACTCCCCTTTGCTAGACTGTGTTAATCAAGAAATCCTTGTATATAATTTAATAAACAGGTTATTTGATTGAATGATAATACAAGAAAGAATGTTATATAAACAAAACAAAACAAAAACAAAATAAAATAAAATGTTTGAAAATAAAACAAAATAAAAATAAATGTTTGGTTTAAATGAGCAAAGCTTGCTCAAAGTCAGATTCTTTCCTGGAAAGCTGTATAAAAGATTGACATAAATATTAGTTATATATTTAGGAAAGTTGAAATTGTACATAGTATGTTTACACTGAGGTGGTCTGTTTGACAGTGGATGAGTTATTATCAGGTAAAGTCAAGATTGACAAGAGACTGGAAAAAGTTGTTTTATACTTTATCAAAGCGAACAAAAAATCACAGAGAGCCAAGGTGACTTGTTGTAATTAGTGGCAAATAGCAACGTTTTTTATCCAAGTCTCTGTGTACTGAATTGTAGCACTATGCAAGTGACATATATTGAATACCTTACACAATACGTAAGTGTTCATTGTATTTGTATATTAAGCATTCATCATCATCCCTTTAAGGCTTTGGAAATCCAAGTATGATCCCAAGGAGATCACTCGAGTCTCGCACGTTACAATTAGTAAGGGTATTTTTACCAGATTTTTGAAATTCTTGGGCAACATTGCTTCGTCTATCAGTTAATTTTGTTTTATACTTCTATGGATCCTTCACAGTGTTGTAATATACTCGGGTGACCGTTAAGGCCCTTGGACCTCTTGTTATAAACTTAAGTTTTATCACATGTTTGTCGTTTTTTATCATTATTTACTTATCCTCACAATATAAAGAATGCAATGCTTGGTGAAATATGAATTTAGGAATTGTAGATCTAAGTTTATCGGCTTTCAATTTTTTGCCAAAATTATTTCTTGTCACATTTTTTCTCATCTTCTTTCAGAAAAAAAAAAACGATAAGAATTTAAATACTATCTCTATAAGGCATTTCTTCATCATTTTCAATACAGAAAATAACTAATCTATAGATAAAGAAACAACCATTATGTAGTGTCTCCTGAGCCTGTGTTTCCTCTTATTATTTTCAATTTTTGCAATTTTATCGAAGAAATGTGTTTGGTTTTTTTTGTTTGTTTGTATGTTGTTTAACGTCCCTCTCGAGAATATTTCACTCATATGGAGACGCCACCACTTGCCGATGGAGAGCTGCAAATTTTATCATATGCTCGGCATTCAGGGCCATTGAGCAGTGAGGGATCTTTTTCGTGCCAGCACCTACTGCAACACGGGACCTCGGTTTATACGGTCTCATCCGAAGGACCGGTCTCCACGTCCCACAGTGGGATTCGAACCCGCGACGTAAGGATCAACTCCTTACTTCGCGACTGTAGAGCAGACGCTCTAACCACTGCGCCACGCGGGTGACGAAGCAATTTGTAAGCAATACTATGAGGTAAAGCATTTTTACATTAAGTTAAGAATGGTATAGTTTTTGAGAATGTAAGAAAATAATCGCAATCCATGTAAATTTTCAGACATGAATGAAGTGAAAAATGTTGTATTTGAAATGGTCAACATAGGAAAACGTAGTAGAAATGTACTTATGAAAGGTACTTGCCCTACTACATATAACTATTTAATTTCGATCTCATGGACAGCGCGGGTATGTTAAGGAAGCATATAAGTCAATTCTCTGGAAATTTAGACTTTTTAAAGAAAATTAAGTTTGATAATTTACCAAAACCGCTGATAAATGTAAACTATTATTATCTATTGCATAAAGATAAAAGAGTGTCTAACGCAAAGACGTGCACCACCACCACGCCATCACGTGACTTCTATTAATAGCGAAATTTTCCTTAGTAAAAAAGCTAACAGAACAACAATACCCCGAAGTGTAATAATTTCTTTGAGTAAATAATATAGTTGGAAAACATCTATTTTGCCTAAGAAGTGCTGCTAGAATCCCACTGTCCCGTCAGTAAAATAATAATTCCACACATTCGCACGAAACCTTACCCGATGTTTTGAATTTTATACATATAAACCGAGATTTTTCGTAAAACCATGCTTAACTCGGGATTCTAGCAGCACTTTCCAAGTATTTTAGGAGGCAAACTTTCCATCTGTACAAATCTTATGTTTTGAAATATACAGCTTATTGTTGTTCTGCTGCATTATTTTTGTTACAAATGACAGAGGAAAGGCCGACCGGGATACGTATATAGCTGACTGTCTTCGAAGAGAATACAATCGATGAAAATAAATTAGCATACCTGTTTTAGTAACTGTACTCCATATGAATTTCACAAAATATTCAGGATATTTGCTTTTAATCTCCATTTTACGTATCTTTGTACATGCCGTCTTTATGAGGCGCCGTTTTGGTATTTACTGCCAAAAAGTGATATCACCTATTCGAATAGGTGATATCACCTATTCAATTGGTGATATCACCTATTCGAATAAGTGATATCACCTATTCAGCTTCTGAATAGGTGATATCACCTATTCGAATAAGTGATATCACCTATTCGAATAGGTGATATCACTTAATCATTTTGAATAGGTGATATCACTTATTCGAAAAGGTGATATCACTTATTCGAATAGGTGATATCACCCATTCGAATAGGTGATATCACTTATTCCTTTCGAATAGGTGATATCACTTATTTGAATAGGTGATATCACCTATACAAATTAAATAGGTGATATCACCAATTCAAATAGGTGATATCACCTATTCGAATAGGTGATATCACTCAATCATTTTGAATAGGTGATATCACTTATTCGAATAGGTGATATCACCTATTCAAATTATTTATGAAATAACAACTGCTCCCATGACTATAGCCTTTAATTCTCATTTACTTTCACTTTCGTTTTATAACTTACCATTCTTTGAGACAATGAATTACAGTTTCGCATTTAGTTTTAAGCACCCCAGTAGAAGTTTGTTTTTGCTCACAAATTATATTCATTACACTTATCTATCATGTATACTATAGCAAAAATCAAAGGGTCTGTAAGTCTCGTTGACTTTCACTTTCGTTTTATAACTTCCGAGTACCAGAGCGTTCTTGGAGACAATGGATTACTGCTTCGCTTTTTAAGTTGTAAGCATCGCAGTGGAATTATTAAACTTCTAGTTTGTTTTGCTTCCCGATTGTTGCAAAGAAGAGGAGAAAATGGATTGATAGATGCAGGTAAATAGCGTTTAATTGCTTTATTTATCATTACATGACGGGGCACACCTACTTAATTTTACCACGAGGTACCTAACTCAATTTCAGGCACCCCTGCTTCAAGCTTGTATTTTGTTCATATATCAATCATTAACCTACTTTAATATTATATCGTTCGCTTCGAGAGACTTTTTTCTTGTCAAATAAATCCTTTCAGACATCTCTGGTCGAGCCTCTTTATTGTAAACCACTCATTTATTCCTCGAAAATTACCCCGATACATATTAAGACTCAGATGGGATGCAACTTCCGGTTGGGGTTAGGATAAAACCAAAGACTTCTGAGTTTTCCATTCCGATCTGGTTTTATCCTTCATTTATAACCCTAACCAGAAATTTGTATCCCATCTTAAGTCTTAATTAATTTTCGAGGAATATATGTCATTGAGTGGTTTACAATAAAGAGGATCAACCAGAGACATCTGAAAGGATTTATTTTACAAGAAAAAAGTCTCGAGAAGCGAACGATATAATTTTAAAGTAGGTTAATGATTGATATATGAACAAAATATGAGCTTGAAGCAAGGTGCCTGAAATTGAGTTAGGTACCTTGTAGTAAAATTAAGTAGGGA